GCCTCCGCCTGGGCCCGGGCCTGCAGGCAGAGGGAGGGGTAAGTGGGACCTCAGGGCTCCCCGCTGACCTCCTCTGGACAGCCCTGTGCCACCCACCCCTAAGAACCATCTCTGAGGAAACGACCTCCAGAGCACTTAAGAGTCAGCAGAACTTAAGACCCCCAACTTGGAAAGAAAAGGAAACAGAGGGTCAGAGAGGTGAAACAGCCGTCCAGGCCTGACTCCCAAGAGCCAGTTTTTTTCTGCCACCCACTACCTCGGCTAGCTTGGTCGTGAGCTTCGGGGAGAGTGAAGGATCCATGGCTGTCCTTGCTAAGAGTGTGGATGTCAGGACACTGCACAGGGGCATGGGAAGGACAGCCTTTGGCTCAGCAGCCCCTGGCCAACCCCTGCTCTGTGAAGGAGCCCAGCTGTGCCTGTTCCACCTGTGGCCTGTGCCCTCTGGCTGACCCCCACCTCTGACCTGCCTCCCCAGTCCCCCTTTATACCCCCACCTGGGCTTCCCTTCCTGGCTTAGAGCAAACTGGTACCAACATATGCCAAAACCTGTCTCCCAAAGCCTGGGCTGGAATCGAGCCCAGTTAGGGCTTCGCTGCAAACAGGCTGACAGGTGGGACCGACCACTGCATGTTCCTGGTGCCAAGCCGGTCTGGGGCAGCCAGGAATACCGTCTCCAGCTCGGAGGCCTGGCTGTCCTCCTGGTATGGAACCTCTGCAGCACCTCACCTGCCTCCTCATGGGAGACATGGGGGTTCACGGCACTCTGGAGACCCTAGGTCCCAGTCAGATGTCCCCAAATGGAAAAAGGGACACACAAGACCACATAAGCTGTGCTCCACGGCCAGCTGCTCCCTTCACTAAGAAAGGCACTAAGGAGACAGGTGCCAGCCGGTCGGGGAGCTCCAGCTGCGAACACGCACAGCCCCGACCCCTGGGGCTGCTCTGTGACAAAGGAGGGGGGGTGACGACAGCAATCCGGTGCAATGACAGAAAGACAGACCTAGAGGGCCAGATCCGGGCACAGACCTATCTTGAAGAACATGGTGTCAGTGCTGGTCCCTGTAGCCTAAGTCAGCGGCACCCAGATCCTCACTGAGCATCAACCATGCTAAGGCAGTGCCAGAGGCCCAGGCGGCCTGGGAAGACTGAGGGGGCCCAGTGGTATGAGAGGGGACAGAGTACGGGCTGTGTGTGGGCCAGGTGTTTAGACTCCAGCTCCTGCGAGGCAGGGAGACTAGTTAGGCAGGAATGGCCTTGATCCAGATGGAATCTGGTAGAGTGGAGTGGGAGGACACATTCCCTGGTCAGTCTGTGACATCCCCAGAAGGTAGAGTCTGCATCCCCACTGTGCCTGATGCTTTGCCAGCCCCTGGGAGGTAGCCTGGGTGCCCTTCAGACAAGACTAGATGGTATCTGCAGACCTGGTGAGATGTTCATTGAGAACATGGCCCTCACCCCCCACACTGGAGAAGCACATTTTAATGCCACAAGGTCCTCCGGAAAGGCTGAGGCCTCCTGGACCCTGTGGTCAACAACCCCTGTGGCCACCAGGTGGCAGCAAACAAGGCCTGGCTGGCCCTGTGCCAATGCTGCCAACTCCTACTGTTTGAGCCCTCTGAGCTCCTTGGGGAGTGGGCCCCACTACCCTCCCCAGACAAGGTGGGGAAAGCCCGGGCTTGCTAGGGCATGGCAGGCAAGGCTGTTTAAAGGCCCATCTCTAGGGAGCTCGGGGGATGGAGCTTACCCGAGGTTAGTATTTCCTGCCTCTGCACAGTGCCCAAGCTTTCCAACCTCTGCAAGCATGTGCTACGACAGTCCAGTGCTGACGGCTGGTCCCCAGGAGGCAGTGGAGTAGGGCAAGCAGCAGCACTGGGATAAACCCCGGCTGGGTGCCTTGAGCCTCATGTCCCCATCTGTATAATCCTAACAGGACCAACGACGGACCCGTGTGAGGGTCAGAGCACACAGCACCTGCTCAGCACAGCAGGGCAGGAAAGGTCACCATTTCCTAAAGGTGTGTTTTCCAAATTTCCGGAGAAAAACTCCTTGCTTTATAATTTGTAATATGAGTTTTGCAAAAGGGACTGGCTCACCCTTTCTCCTGCTCTCCCCCCTCCCAAGTGTGAGGATTCTTTGCAGGAGGGCCTGGGTATGCCTGGTAAATTAAAATCTGTAGCCAACACGTTTGCTGCACTCTCACCCAGTGACAGGCATGGCTCTGGGGTCCTAAAGACAACATGGCAGACTAACCACTGGACTGGACTACGGACCCTTCTGGGACTGCGGGCGAGTCCTTTAGCTGCCCCGGCCTGTACCTCACGTGTGGGACAGGGATAACACAACCTTCCTCAGGGGCTCCTCTTCCCTTTGGAACTGCCCTGGCAGGATCGCTACCTGGGCATCACTGCTGACGGTGCCGTTTGCCTCTCCATGGGGGTCAGAGCAGTGGGTTCAGCCCAAGCCCATCTCCGCAGCTTGCCACAAACATCCGCATCACTCTCGGGCCACTTCTGCCTCTCTGTTCCCTGCCCCACCAGCTCTGCAGCGTTCATGGTTTTCCGTGTGTGCAACCTATCCCTTTTGACCTGACATGTCCTCCTTGGAGGACAAGATGGCATGAGGCCAGGAAGCTGGGCGCTGGGACCTCAGGTAAGTCACTCCCCTCTCTGGGCCTTGCGCTTTTCGTCTGTGAAATGGGAATACTCACTCCTTCCTTCAGAACTGTTAAGAGAATTAAAGGAGGTCGCCCACGTGGGGGCTTCAGCAGTGTCAGGCCCACAGCTAGCTCAGAAACTACGGCTCTCAATTTGCAGAGCCTGCTCCGTCACTGCTGCTTAAACGCTAGAGGGAGCTCCAGCTGCGCGCCCGGCAGCCGCCCTGCACGTCAGTTTCCAGCTGCTCCGCCCATCCCTCTCCAGGGCTGAAGCATCGGTTTAAGGTTGCTCCACTATCCCGTAAGATGAGTGTTGGTTGGAGGCGGGTCAACAGAAATGTGGGATTCTGGAAACCAACCTTTCTTTCATTTCTGCTTTTGAGTCCAAAGAGAAGTCTGACACATGCTACATACACCTGCACGGGATTTGGTGGGGGGCGGGGGCGGGCCAAGTGGGGCCAACAGGTTCATCACATTGGAATTGAGCCTTTAGGGTCTTCCGGCAAATGGGAGATTCTGCAGTTTCTCCTCTCAAAAGCGTCCTCCCCATCTTCCTCATTGCAATTGTCGCGAGGTCACTGTGGGGAGGGAAGGGCCCTGGGACACCTAGCACTATAGGAGGTGGCCCTGAGTCTCCACCCGCCAGTTTGGGCCTCACCCTTTCCCAGGCTCTGCTCTTCCTCACCAAAATAAAATAAATCCCAATCCCCCAAGATGGCTTCCTCTGAAGTTCTTCCCTCCCTTGCCAAGGCTTCTTTCCCCTCCCCCATTCTCAGGAAAACCTCAGAAATAGTCAGGAATTGGAAGAATCGGGCAGGCTCAGAACCCTGGGGTCAGTGGCCCAGCCTGGGTAATCAACTCAAAAAAGTGATTTAAGATCAAACCGAAATTGACCATCCCCTTCCCTTGGATTCCAATCCCCCAGCACAGCCTTAACACCACAGACTGGACGAGATATGTCACCCGCATCTACCTGCCACCTCCTCTGCCCCCTTCCTGGAGCCCCGCATGCCCTCCCAGCCCCCTAGATCCAAGTCCCTCAGCGAGGGCTATCCCCACTCCCAGGCCTCTCTGGCTGGAGCTGGAGTTGGCCACGGCCTGCTGCCAGGGGCTTGTAGGGGCTTATTACCACCCCCTGCCCAGCTGGGGCCCCTCTGGAAAGGCCTGCCCGCTTGGGTGGCCAGAATCTGTCCCTCCCCTCCAGGCCCTGTGCAGTGTCGGGGCTGGGGGCCCGGGCCGGGGCTTCGGGGGCTCGGCCAGGTTACCTTCAGAAGGAAAGTTTTGGGTTTGGGTCCCCTCTTCTTGGGCCCATACAGCTCACGCTCCCTCTCCCTGCGGCCGAGAAACGCCAAAGGTTAAAACGAGCCCCTTCCCGGGCCCCACTCCGCGCTGCCTCCCCGGCCCTCCCGCTTCCCCGCGCGGTGCCCCAGCCGAGCCTCGGCCGCGCCGCCCCTGCCAGCTTCCCCAACTCACTTCTGCTCGAAGGCTGCAATAAGCCGCGAGTCCAGGATGTTCTCCTCGGGCTCCCAGGTGCTGTACCTGCCGAGTCACACACGCACACATCGAAACGTACCCCCGAGGCAACCCGCACACCGCAAGAGCCAACGCGCGCACCCCCAACCCCAGGCCCTAGAGCCCGCTGCCTCCCCTTCCTCAAGCCCCCGGAGCCCACGACACTCACTTGATCGCCCACCCTTTCCATTTCACCAGGTACTCGATGCGTCCCTGAAAAACAGAGGAAAATAGGGGGAGTGGGGGTGGGGAGGATGCAGGGACGCGAGGAGGCGGCGGCGCGGGGGTGGGCGAGAGAGCCAAGCCAGAGAGACCGTTTCTCCCCGGGGGCCCGTGGACCCTGCACCAGCCGCGGGCAGCGGCGGGCCCCCCCG